TAAACTATTTCAAACTTAAAGTAAAGATCTACTTGGCCGATTGAACTGAAACTTTGTAGGAATGATCGAATCATGGTCCTGACAAAGTGTTGTTATTTTTCGGGTCAATCAGAAATACAATTTGGCTGCCATGGCCGCTATTTTGCTACTAAGTTCTAATAGGCCGATCTCACTTAAAATTGGTCTAGGAATGATCAGCTCATGGTCCTGACAAAGTTAAGTTAACATTATACTATTTTTTACTCAAATTGGTACATATTTCAACAACAAAAATAAATACTATAGACTCAGGTGACCGTTAAGGCCCATGGGCCTCTTGTTTAAATTTAACTATCAAAATGGCATTGCGCATGATAGATAGGTGCCTATGCAATACCTGGGTTTGTTATGTAGACCAGCAGTGCAAATCTTTTTCTTAATTACAGTAGTGAGGTCAAAGGTAAACTTTAAGTGCTAGTCAGGGGGTCAAAGGTCAACATGGGTTAAAATCTTTAACAATCTTCTTCTCAAATTCCATAAGGCCCAGGGTATGGCATTTTGCCAGTAGGTAATTGGGGTGGAATGTGATAAAGTTTTCTCATTAAAATGACCTTGACCTACTTTCAAGGTCACAGGGGTCAAATATTCAATATTCAATATTCAAACTTCAAACAACAATATTCTAAGAACCATTTGGACTAGAGTCATGATACTTGGGTATGTTATGTAGACCAGCTGTGTGAATAGTTTTCTCTAATATATTACAGTAATGAGGTCAAAGGTAAACTTTAAGTGCTATCCGGAGTCAAAGGTGAAAGTGGGTTAAAAGCTTTGAAATTAAAATTTTAATTGCTCTGCAAGCAGTCCTGCTCTTGGAAATGGTTCTGTTCTAATTTCAAACAACAATATCTTAAGAACCATTTAAGAGATGTTAAAATTTCCTTTATGTTAATTACCAAATTTGGTCTGAAGTTACCTATATGTCAGTTTCATGTAACAAAAGAAACAGGTGAGCGATACAAGCCCTCTGGGCCTCTTGTTATCTGAAGCTTATAAATTAGGAAGGATTTAAGGGTACATAATGGTGTGTTATCTTCTGATTAACATGATCATGCTACCAGGATCAGGTCCTTGCTCAAGTACACCAACATACCCTGTCTCTAGCACACATTACATGCATTCATGCTTACACAACACACATGGAGGCACGTCCTTAAATGACCTTAGCTGTTAATAGGACGTTAAACAAAATAAAACTAAACCAAACCAATCCTTGCATCCAACCACTCCATTGGGGTCTTAGTTACACTGGGTATTAGCATAGAAACAGTAGAGATCTCCACTCTATATCCATACATACACTTATAGAGGGATCATCTGGGTTACTTAGTTTTTAAATGCCTTCTCCTCCTAAGTAGTTAATCTTATTTCAACCAAATTCTTAATGAAAAATCCTATTAGTTTTAAACAAAATGGAAAACACGCTTCAGAAAAAAGGAAAATTTATCAAAAAAATCATGAAGCTGGTATATTTTACTTTTTAAGCCGCTCTTAGCGAGAGCCGAGCGGCTTATTAATTCTGTCCAGAGAACGAAATGACGGACCCACTTCCGTTCGGGGTGCATGCGCATAATTCAGACTTGCATGCTTCCGCTATATAGTTTCGTTATCGTAAATAGGAAGTAGAATCTCTGACACTCACCTGTGGGTTACATAAAGTCTTCTGATACTCTTCTCCAAATAATAATCTATACTTTAAATAATTGCTTAAAACAAAATGTTTATCTCCGGTGCATTCTACGTCAGTGTTGTGGTGGTGAAATTCGTGCACTGGGTTTGAGCATTTTAGCACCTCGGATCACAGGGTCACGTTACAATCACACATATGCTATACTGATATGGGTCACAACACACTTAAACATGTTTATGTGTGTTGTGACCCATATCAGAATAGCATATGAGTGATTGTAACATGACCATGTGGTTTACGCGTGTGAAACGCATATGATTCGAAAAAGCACATGTGAAGCCTGTCAAGCATTGACGCTGTCTGTAGAAGGAAGAACTAAATAAATATACTTATTAACTGTATGATTGATGAAGTATAACCTCTATTTTGAAGTTTCAAACGGGAACGTAATATGGCATATCGTGCTTAGGTTGAAAACGGTAATGGCTCTTGAGACGAGACAATATATGTGAACTGTGTATGCTTATCAAACATTTCTGTAACACCGCATGCTTTTTCTAGTATATTTATTTATGCAAATGTAACAATTTAAGAACATGACACAACTGCCGCTGCTGTTTGACAAGAATTCGCGCCGTGTCTATTATCCAATCCGGTGTAAGGGACATAACTCTTACGCTGGTAAAGTCGCATTGAGAGATATAATTCAAATATATTCCAAGAACATTTGTGAGATTTTGTATATTCAATGACAGTAAATAAAGTCACAACATTTATTAATAATTATTATTAATATGAGTAAAAAATAAATTAAATTAAAAGGAGTACAATGTCTCTTTTCTCCATGCATGTTTTCCAACTACTGTTAATTATCTTTCATTTCACAAGCACAAATGCACCTATTCTTTATTATCCATTCACCGATTGCAATTATGCACGTAAATGCTCATGTCGCATCATCGGAGGATGCTAATTAATGAAAATTGTAACAATGCGTCACACTTAAAGAGGGTGAAAAAAGAGGAGAGGGAGAATGTTTTTAAAGAGGTGATTGATTTTGGAAATTCCAAAGGCAACATCATCACATGAACATGACCTGATTTTCAATTAGCAGAATACAGAACAAATAACTGAGGTATTATAGTAGATATTGATGCTCAACGTGTTACTGAAACAATTAAATTTAAAGTGGTGAGCGGCTTTAATGTCACACTGACATAATTATAGTTTTTTATGTTAATTAACAATAGTTTTTTTGTGCCTGCAAATATGATATTTTATATTACCCAAAGCATTTGAACAAACTAGAATGAAAACCTGTATACTGCATGATGTATGTTTCTGATTTTGATTTTGTCTGCACCCTATTACTTCTGTTATGACCTATCTGCACGTTTTGAGTTGCTTGTGTATGTTGTCTGTGTATTGTCGTTTTCAGATTATGATTTAACAACAGAACTGGATTATGTGCCGGAAATTGAGAAGTACTATACCATTCCTCGTAACTCTGAGATTGGGAATGTGTACAGGCAGTTGCAAGCCATGCGCCCTGCCTCCTTAGCAGGTCTGAATCAGTAATGTTACATAGCATATTTGTGTTGATATGAGGATTGGCGTATTCGGGAATAAAAAACTGAACAGGAGTCTTAAACCTCAAACAAGGTCATTTAATATTGGTTTGATATTATTAAGCTCACCTGCCCAAAGGGCAAGTAGGCTTATGCCGTTGCGTGGCGTCTGTTTGATCAGTGTTTGTCCTCAGCTTTGTAGCCATCACAGCAAGCTAGTGATATCCTTCACCATACATTTTCAGTTATCAGTCTAATCTTTTCTCAAAAACCATCAGACTGATTTTATAGCTGCTAGAAAGTTGGCTGGCTGTTTTTAGGGGTCCATAAAGGACAGAAAATTCAGCTTGCTGCGTTTTTAGGTCTATAAGGGACAGAAAAGGGGCTTGCAGCTTTTAGGGGCCCATAAGAAACAGAAAAGGGGCTTGATATCAAGCTTTTGGGGGCCCATAAAGGACAGAAAAGGGGGACTGGCTGCTGTTTGGCCCATAAGGCATGGAATAGGGATGAAAATTTAGGACCTTATCTTATTATTAGTTTTAAAAAGACTGCAAAGGAAAACAGGGCCATTAGGGAGTGCTTTCAAAATACAATGTGCAATGTTTACATTTGCAGACGTTGATGTCATTATGTACCCTTAACAAAGTTTGAGGGACGTAATATTTTTGGTTCGTTTCTTATTATTATTATTATCCCCCGCTTTCACCGAAACGGGGGATATTAATTTCGTTTCCGTGCAATAACTACAACAAATGTTAACCGATTTTCTTCAAACCTAGTCACAGGGTTAACTTCTTTAGGGGCTCTGCCAAGTTCGATGACCACTTTCAGCGGACCCCTTTTGGCAGAGTTATGGCCCCTTGAATATTGAAAAACGTCATTATCTGCCACGCTTTGTTTCCGTGCAATAACAACAACAAATGTTAACCGATTTTCTTCAAATTTGGTCACATGGTTAAATGCCTTAAGGGCTCGGCCAAGTTCAATGACCCCATTTGGCGGAGTTATGGCCCCTTGAAAAAGGACAAACATCATTATCTGCTGCGTTTTGTTTCCGTTCAATAACTACAACAAATGTTGTCCGATTTTCTTTAAACTTGGGTTCAGCATTGGGTACAGCGTTTAATGCCTTGAGGGCTCAGCTAAATTTGATGACCACTTTCAGCAGACCCCTTTTAGCGGAGTTATGGTCCCTTGAATAATGAAAAAACGTCATCTGCTGCGTTTCGGTTCCACTAGGAATAACCACAACAAGTGTTAACTGATTTTCTTCAAACTTGGTCACAGGGTTAAATGTCATTAGGACTCGGCCAAGTTCAATGACCACTTTCAGCGAACTTTATTTGGCGGAGTTATGGCCCCTTGAATAACAAAAAACATCATCTGCCATTTCTGTTCATTAACTCCTGCAAATATTATCCGATTGTCTTCAAACTTAGTAACAGGGTTCAACGCATTAAGGGCTTGGCCAAGTTTGACAACCACTTTAATCGGACTCCATTTGGCAGAGAAATGTCCCCTTGATTAATGAAAAATGTCTTTATCTGCCGTTTCCGCTTAATAACTCTAGCAAATATTAGCCAAAATCCTTCAAACTTGATAAATATCCTGTTCCTGTGTCTTTCCACCCATCTTGGGCACTCCTTAGTTTTCGTGTGATAAATCTGTAGATAATGTTTAGATGTTTCAACCAAATTCCGTATGCACATCCGACTCATGCTAAGTTTGCCAACCGATGTGATTTGCATACATGCCATAACTTTCTGGTGCAAAATAGTGAGATCAGTGATTATTTTTAGTGAGATTTGGTCAAAAATAGTGAGATTTTTTCTCTGAATTCGTGAGAAATTCGTGAGACTTTTAAAACATAAATTATATAGCATATATCATAGTATTGAATCATTTGTGCTATTCTGAAGCCTCTTATTACTTTGTTAGAGCCAAAATTGAAGATTTTTTGATATTTTAAAGGATTTTAGGAAGGTTTACACATGAGATACGGTCCAGATAAAGCTATCAATATTTAAAAGTAAACAAATCACATAAAAGGCAAAAAATAATAGTAATTAAAAAAAGAAGAAATTCCACAGGGATGTCCTTATTAACCCAGGTTAGAAAAAATATATCTCAAAACATTGGGAATATCTAATTCTAATTTGTTGGAAAAAAAATAACCAATAAATACTATTTTTTATATATCCAATTCTGAAGAAACTTGTTTCCTTCTGTTTATGTTATTTTCATTAACACTCAATCCCATCCCGACGGCAAGAGAATGAATTCCGGATTCAATGTCAGTGTTTCGGTATTAACAGCTCTGACATCTCCTTATGTTGCTGTTTAATGTTAATATCAACTGTCATCACATATTAATTAGCAACTAGCCCAAACTGTATGTGGGATCACTGAATTAATTGCTTAACAGTTCACACAGGGTGAGCAAGTCATCAAGCCATGCCCCGCTGGCCGGGCCATTCAGAACTTTCACATCTATGCTGCTACTGTAATTGGCCTGGCCTGTGATTTAAGTGGCTGGTGTGTGACTTCAGACCTCGCGGTGACCAAGGTCAGTGTGAATCCATGTAGCTATTATCATCATCATCATCATTTATTCACTAAGATTGACCAAATTTGTTTCTTTTCGTGAGATCAAATTATTTGCAACAAAAAGCGTGAAATGGGTTCCCACGCCGTGAGACATTTTGGAAAGCTGTTTTTCGTGAGTCTCACGCCTAAATCGTGAGATATGGCATGTATGGATTTGTGCATATTTACGGATAATCAATGAGGTATATAATAGGGCTTCTTCAAGTTTCAAGCTATACATTTTGTCTCAACAGCACGATACTCACATGTTTAAACCTAACCTCAATTATGTTAACCTACAATATGTCCTGCAAGCGGGGGATATAAATTCCACGAATTTGCTTGTTATTATGCGGGCCTAGGGTGATGATATTTGGCCAGAAGCAAACTGGGATGAAGGGCTACCAAGTTTGTTCAAATAAATTACCTTCACTTATTTTTAAGGTCACAGGGGTCCAATATGTTAAAAACTTTAAACAACTTCTTCTGAATAACCAAAATACCCAGGGTGATTATATTTGGCCAGTAGCATGCTGGGATGAAGGGCTACCAAGTTTGTTCCAATGAATGACCTTTAACATTATTCAAGGTCACAGTGGTCAATTTTTAAAAAAAAACTATAAATAACTTCTTCTAAAGAACCAACAGGCCTATGGTGATACTATATGGCTAGTAATATGCTTGGTGGAAGCCTATCATGTTTGTTCAAATGAATTACCTTCACTCATATTCAAGGTTACAGAGGTCAAATATGTTCAAAGTTTAAGCAATTTCCCTTGAATAACCAAAAGGTTTAGGGTGATGATATTTGGTCAGGAACAGGCTCAGTTGAAGAGCTACCAAATGTTGACATTTCAAGGTCACTGGGCCCAGCATATTAAAAACATGTTTAAATGTGTTAAGTATATTAAAAGGTTTTGAACAACTTAGTCCAAAAGGCCTAGATGATGATATCTCAGACCAGTTACATGCTCAGATAAAGAACTAAGGGGGTGTTCAAATGATAAACCTTCACCCATATTCAAGGTCACAGGTTTCAAATGTGTTAAAAACATTTAAAGAATTTCCTTTATGATATTTGGCCAGTTTCATGCTCTGATGAAGAGGTATTAAGTTTGTTCATGTGAATGACCTTGACACACTTTCAAGGCTACATCTGGTCAAATGTTTATAAACCTTAAAACGTCTTCATTTCAAGAAACAAGAGATCTAGGGTAATGATATTATGCAAGTTGAATGATGGGATGAAGGGCTAAAAAAAATTTCAACTTCATGACCTTGTTAAAACCTTTTAACAGTTTCTTTTTAATGACTTAGAGTCATGCATACTTATATTTTGCCTGTAGATTTATATTAGTCCGCTTTAAGGTTACAAGTGTGATGTTACTACCAGGTGAGTGATGCAGTCCCATTGGGCCTCTTGCTGTCACACTGTGCTCAGATTAATCAATATCTAAACTCAAGATTCTGCAAGATATCTTGCTTTAATATCATTCATTTTTTTATGAAACTTGGTATGTTAATAAGCTTACTGATCTCTGATTGGTTGACAGCTTCAGCACAATAATTCTGAGGAATCTTTGTCAATATTTATATTATTCAAGGACAAAGTGTTAAGCTTAAAGATGAACAAAACCTGCACATATATATTACCATACTGCTATCTGATTGGTTGACAGTTTTCGCACAATAGCTTGGTCAAATAGGACAGGATTCTGAATTTCCCCTTAAATAATAGTGACATCTACCAGTAATTAATGAACAATAGAAATACCTTTGGTTTTGATGATGTAGAATAGATTAATTATTGGCAAAAAGGGACAATGTTTGTGTCGCCTGCAACACGAGGCGACATATAGTTATCACTTTGTCGGCGTTGGTTGTGTCCGAAACAAGGTTTTCGTGCAATAACTTGAGTTTCCTTAAGTTGATTGAACTCACTTCATTCTAGCAATAGTTCTCAACCTTAATAATTAAAAAAGTAAAAATGTGGGGGGTTGTTCCATGCATTTCCATATTTTCATACATTCAGATAAAGTAATGCATCGGAAGATCCTAAGTATGTCTGATCGCCATGGGATGTGCTTCTAGGGTACTCTTGTTCTACAAACAGGCCTAAAGTTATAATGTATGGGCAGGAGCTTGCTGGCTATGAGTGCTACAAAGTTGCAGAAAGATACGACATTGATCTTCCTGTACGATACAGGTCGCAGTACAAAATTCTGGTATACACATACAAGGCACTGAATGGAACAGCTCCTAAGTACCTACAGGAACCTATTACCCTGTATCAGCCGTCAAGATCACTGCGGTCGGAGTCAGAATCTTTGTTGTGTGTCCCAAAATCTCGTACTGTGACCTACGGAAACAGATGCTTTGGGAGGGTTTCGGCTACGTTGTGGAATAGCTTACCATCTGCTATTAGGAAGTCGAATACCCTGGCCAAGTTCAAGAGGGACATAAAAACTCACCTCTTCACGTCTGCATTTTAGAATCTTTGCAAAGACGTCATGTAAATACCACCCTTTTATTTGTTCAATTATGTGCACATTGCTTGTTAAATGTATGCAAGTGATTGCAAGCCTTTGTTGTTTGTTTTAACAATTATAACCATTACTATTATCCATATGTTGTAAAGTGCCTTAGAGTAATTTTACAAATTATATAGGGCGCTATATAAATGCTGTATATTATTATTATTATTCATTCAAGGTCATAGGCATAAAATCTATTTAAAGGTCTAAAAAGAGTCTAAAATGACTTCCTCTGAAGAACCAAGAAATGATATAAAAGCATGAAGTTTATTGGCATGGATTACTAGAACTTTGACATCTGAGTAACTATCAAGGCAATTAGAGTCCAAATATTTGGCAAGAACTTGGTGCTATAGTGAAAAGGCCACTTATAACAGGTGAGCATCTTCAGGCCAATTGAGCCTCTTCTATATCTAATAGAATAATATTAGATACAAGACCTATCTGATTGATAGCTGTAGAGTTAATATGATTGATAGCTGTAGAGTTATAGCTGTAGAGTTAATATGATTGATAGCTGTAGAGTTAATCTGATTTCTCAAGTTTTGTTTCTGTCATACAGGTATCCCTGTGTCCGGCTCACAGGTAGCAAGACGGCCCTCGATGAACCCTCCCAAACCGCCCCCTCCTGTGCGTAGGTCATCCTCCATAAGTACAGCAGCTGCACCACCTATTGTCCAGCGTCTGAGGAAGACCCCACCACGTGACATGGCACACAAAGTACATCCTCCAGCTTCCTCAGGGCACCGACGCAGTAGCAGTTCTGGGGGTCTGTCAGAGCCTGCATATGCTGATCTGCAGACAATACAACAGAGCATCCAGTCACGGCATCAACAGCAGAACCAGCTACTACAAGCTAATCCTTACGCTACCACAGGCACCCAGCACATAACACTGTCAGCACCGCCTACACCCTCACAACACATGCCACAGCCACTGCCCCATGGTGGCATTAACAATCAAAGAGGACAGCATCCACTTTCAAGGCAGATTGTGAATCCACATTGTAAAAGAGTTGGTGGAACTGATGCACCAACAGATCCTCCCCCAGGCATACCAGGGATTGGATTGAAAAAACAGGGGAATGCTCCATCCTCTCCACCACCAAACATGGATGTTGACTTGCCTCCGCCCCCAACAGAGTGGGAGCTGGAGGAGATAGAAAAGGTGTATAGTTGCCCTCCACCCATCAAACCGAAGCCCCATTCCCAAGGGGAAAATCCAGAAAATGTCCGAGCTTCCTTATTATCAGAACTCAAACTTGGACCCAAACTACGACGAGTGACTTCTACCGATGATGGGTCGGAATGCTAGGGGAGAGAGTGCTTTGTGGGTTTTTTTAAATGAATATTTATATGCCCAGGTATTGAATACTGGTGGAATCACAGGGGTTATCTACCCTGCTCACAGCTGTACTGTGAGACATTTCAACATACTTTTTATTCCTTTTTCCATTTATTTTTGGATGTGTGAACATTGAGTCAAAGGCTCAAAGGTCACCTATTCCAATTGCTTTTCGTCCTTCGTCGCCCATTGTCTGTAACTTTTTTAGCCCACCATCATCTGATGGTGGGCTATTTAAATCACCCTGCGTCCGTGGTCTGTGGTCCGTCCGTCCGTCCGCTGTCCACCGTCCGTCGTCCGTCCTTTAAGAGCTCTTGTTATCGGTATTCCTCAAGAAGTACCAGAGGGATCTTTCTCAAATTTTATATCTAGGTTCCCCTTGGTACTTAGCTGTGCAAGGCAACTTTTGAGACTGATTGGATAAACGACAGGCAGCCTTATTGGATTTTGATAGTGAAAGTTTGTTTTCGCTATTTCTCTGAAAGTACTGGAGGGATCTTTCTTATATTTTATCTATAGGTTCCCCTTGGTCCTAGCTGTGCAGGGCAACTTTTGAGACTGATCGGATAAACAACATGGCTGACAGGCAGCCATATTTGATTTTGATAGTGAAAGTTTAATTGGGATTCCTGCCCCACACAAGGGGCCAGGGCAGGGCCCAAAAATGGAAAAATAACCAATATTTCAAAAATCTTCTTCAATTCAAATGAACTTGTTACAATCAAATTTTATTCATGGATGGAAATTCAACACACACACTTTTGGGTATATTTTGTCTCTTCTCAGCTAAAACTTATTCAAACTTATTGGAAATAATTATCATGAGATAGCAATTCAATGGCATGAGAACAGAATATCCTGCCTGGCCCCAGGGACCGGAGGGGTGGGGTCCAAATGGGTAAAATTGCTCAAGTTAAAAAAATAGTCTTCTTCAGACTGAGATATATTGTACTAGAATAAAATACTATTCTTGGATGGAAAGGTCCTTTGGTGCATTAACTAAATTATAAATGTCATTACCCCCCATGTCATCTGCTCTGGCTCTCCCCGAGGGAGATGGTAAAGTTTTTTTTAATAATTTGTATAGGTAAATAACACTTTTGGGTATATTATTACCATTTGATCATCTGTTCTCCGTTGAGGAGGAGATTCTATTTTGATGGTTTATATAGGGAAATAACACTTATTGTATTTCACTTAGTTTGCATGTTGATTTCCATTTCACATCATAACAATAAAATTGAGCCACCGGTACCTATATAACTCAGGTGACCGCTAAGGCCCTTGGGCCTATTGTTCTAGATTAAATTGGCTAATTGTTAGCTCAACTTGCTCAAAAGGCTAAATGAGTTTATGCTGTGGCATATCTTCCGGCGTCAACTTTGTTTTCTTTTAACAACTTTTTCTCAGTCTGTTTGTTGTCAACTTTTACTTTTCCTTTAAAGTGTATTTCAAATAAATTTGATCTGAAGCACTAAAAGAACAGAGATCTAGAGTGCAGAGGGGCGGAGCTAAACAGGGCAAGTAAGGATAAAACTTATCTTACTCTGTCAGGACGGGTGAAGGCATTTTAATCAAATTTGGTCTGGAGCATCCTTGGAGAGTTCCCAACTGGGTCAGAAGCATGAGAGTAAATAGGGGAAATGGAGTTAAATGTCTAAACATCGATCTGCTCCTTTAGTACAGGATTGTTCTCCACAGATGGAGCCCAGAGCATCCTTTGGCTAACGCGACTCAATGCTATATAAATATAGTTGTTCAGGAGGTCTGGGGTGACTACAGGAGGTTTTATACCACTACATGGTTTTTTAACTCACTGTCATCAGATGGTGGGCTATTCAAATGCCTTTTGTCTATGATTTGTCATCTTAAACAATTATATGGTCAATATTTCTCAAAACACACTGAAGGGATCTTTCTCAAATTTCATATGTTGGTTTTCCTTAGTCTTTAGTTGTGCGTATTGAATAACAAGACTGATCAGAGGAACAAGATGGCTACAGACGATCATCTGGGATTTTAATGGTTAGAGATTTTTATCATTATTTCTCAAAAAGTTCTGATGTGATCTTTCCATAATCGTTCCCTCTGTTGCTTAGTTGTAGCTCACCTGGTCTAAAGGTCCAGTGGTGTTTAACACTTCTGACAGGCTTTCTGAAGTTTTGCCTGTTACTTAATTAAGTCCATTTTAATATATTCAACCTTGAACCTGATCAAGATCTTGAGATGGTGGCGGTGCCAACCTTACATAGAACTGATTAAGATTTTGAGATGGTGGGCGCCAATCTTACATAGAACTGATTAAGATCTTGAGATGGTGGGTGCCAACCTTACATAGAACTGATTAAGATTTTGAGATGTTGGGTGCCAACCTTACATAGAACTGATTAAGATCTTGAGATGGTGGGCGCCAATCTTACATAGAACTGATTAAGATTTTGAGATGGTGGGTGCCAACGTTACATAGAACTGATTAAGATTTTGAGATGGTGGGCGCCAATCTTACATAGAACTGATTAAGATCTTGAGATGGTGGGTGCCAACCTTACCTAGAACTGATTAAGATCTTGAGATGGTGGGCGCCAATCTTACATAGAACTGATTAAGATCTTGAGATGGTGGGCGTCAATATATAGTATACCAGGTCATATTGTATCATTAGCTCACCTTGTCCAGGTGACCTTATCCTATACTGTGGCATCCGTTTTCTGTCCATCAACCAACAAGTTATTGAAACCACTTTTTCTCAACTGCTGATCGTAATTTAACCAAATTTGAGTGGAATCAAACAGTCATGATATTAGAGTATATAAAATATAGAAGAAGTTATTAGAATTAAGAATTAACTATTATGTTCGTTATCCGGAACACACTTGTTAACAGAAAGCACTTCAAAACTTACATGCTGTCTTTGACCTCAAGCTTCAAATGCGGAAATGAAAGTGCGCAACTTTCTTCACACAGATCACTGTGTTGGAGTGTGCATGTAGCTGCTGTCATTAACTAAATTCATATTCTAATTCAGTACAGATTACATCGGGCACTAATACATCAATACCAATATGACACTTGACACCTCCTCAATACGACGTACTCAACAGTAACTATTGTTGTGTTCCTATAATCTATCAATTGATTATCAAAGCCACACAAACTCCTGTAAAAACATGAACCGGCGAACCAGGCCTAGGTTGTGATTTTAGTTGTGGGGCTCATCTATGTATGACTGTGCATTGTGACCAACTTTCTGGTTATGCAGTGTTGTAACCTTGGGTGTAAAAAATGTACCTTTCCATCTAATATGTATTTAAGCTTTTTAAAACTTATGTGAAAATTAAGAAAAGCTTCAAGATAAGTGTTACTTTCATGAAGGATTTATGCTATTGAAATCAATATTTCACTTCAGGATATCCAAATTTTTCAAGTTCAATTTAATAGAGTTTTAATAATCTTTTCCCCCTCCGCATTAAAGCCATTTTGGTCTCTGTGGAGTATAACATATAGCTAGATAGATCGAATAATTAAGAAAAAGTAGGCTTGGCCGGGACTGGAGAAATACTTTGAGTTAAGATTGTCTTAATAATAAGTAATAAGAGTTTGAGCTACTATAAATGTCTGGGCCCACCCAATGCTACCATGAATGTCTGGGCAGTGGGGCTTTAGTTCATGTCTGGGCCCACCCAATGCTACCATGATGTCTGGGCAGTGGGGCTTTAGTTCTTGTCTGGGCCCACCCAATGCTACCATGAATGTCTGGGCAGTGGGGCTTTAGTTCATGTCTGGGCCCACCCAATGCTGCCATGAATGTCTGAGCAGTGGGGCTTTAGTTCATGTCTGGGCCCACCCAATGCTACCATGAATGTCTGGGCAGTGGGGCTTTAGTTCATATCCGGGTCCACCCAATGCTACCATGAATGTCTGGGCAGTGGGGCTTTAGTTCATATCCGGGTCCACCCAATGCTACCATGAATGTCTGGGCAGTGGGGCTTTAGTTCATGTTACAACTTATACTTCTTGTACCCTTTTGTAAAATCTGTAAGTATTTAATCGGTTATAAACTGAAAACTATACACCAGGTGAGCTGTTAAGGCACCTGGGCAGTATACTATATCATGGTGAAGACACATGGCAATATGAGTATAACACAAAATACCCACTATAAGTCTACATTTGTATATATAATTGGGAATAAATCTAAACAACAAGTCATGAGCTTGTTTGTAAACTCTTCACCCCAAACACCTGTAATCATATTACCAACTTGCATAATAATTAAGTTTTGATGAATTGTGTTGTTTGTTGTTGTCTAGTTTATCCTCATAATCACACGCCTGGTTTAAGATATAGAAGATAATAGTCAATGAGGGAAGTGAGCTTTATAAGGGGGACAGCCAGATCTTACTCAAACGCTGATATTTGTCAATAATAAGGCACTATTTTGTAGATTTAGACTTAAGTTGTATATACAAATATGTACACAACTGAGGTTTTATTACTATTTATTGGTGTCTTGTGTTTAATCACATTTATATATTTCTAGATAACATCACTACATGACTACAACATTTAACAGCTTTTAGCCTTTGCTTTTAGCCCCTCCCCCGCCCAAAAAAAACACCCTGGGTCAGGACCAAATAGGGAGAATATAGTTAAAACTTGAAAATTCTACTCCTTGAATAAAAGAGATTTTAACCTTATTTGATAAGAGCATCTTCAGATTGAACGGATCCTGTAGGTAAATCCTTAACACAAGAGGTTGTCAAGAGGATCGTTGGGCCGAGGTGAGTCACCTTTAAAACAAGAGGTTGTCAAGAGGATCGTTGGGCCGAGGTGAGTCACCTTTAAAACAAGAGGTTGTCAAGAGGATCGTTGGGCCGAGGTGAGTCACCTTTTATAAACAAAGGATTCAACAAGAAGCTTTCACGTGATACACTGTGATCAAGGAATATGGTATTAAACTGTTTAATTGACCCATTGGAGGGCAGTGTCATGGTTACTTTGTATTTTGTTATTAGTCACCTACCTGTGAAACCGGGGGGACTATAGGTTTTGTCTGCGTCCGTCCGACCGTCCGTCCGTCGCCAAAATCTGCAGGTTAAGGTTTGGGTTAAAGTTTTGTAATGGCTTACCATTCACTTAATAATGATGTTAGGATGCTGATTCTCAGCATAGAGGTTCTTTAGGGGTCTAGCATTAATGCTGTGGATTGAAAATGGAATATAATTTTATTTTTTCGGAGAATTTTTGACATGTTTTGGACTTTAACTATCTTGGCCAAAATCTGAAGCTTAAAGTTTGGGTTAAAGTTTTGTAATGGCTCACTGTTCACTTAATAATACTGTTAGGATGCTGGTTTTATGTACAGAGTCATCTTTATGACCCCATTTTAACATCCACTAAGGGGAGGAATGTGTAAACATCCCTCTGACTGCCTGCACTTTCAGATTCTATTTAGTCTTAATATTGTCTTACAGCTCACTCTGCAGACTCAGCACATTGTGGCTTAGTGAGTTGTTTTCAGTGGTTTAGAGTCTAGAATCAGCACATTGTGGCTTAGTGAGTTGTTTTCAGCGGTTTAGAGTCTAGACATCAGCACATTGTGGCTTAGTGAGTTGTTTTTAGTGGTTTAGAGTCTAGACTCAGCACATCGTGGCTTAGTGAGTTGTTTTCAGCGGTTTAGAGTCTAGACATCAGCACATTGTGGCTTAGTGAGTTGTTTTCAGTGGTTTAGAGTCTAGACTCGGCACATTGTGGCTTAGTGAGTTGTTTTCAGCGGTTTAGAGTCTAGACAACAGAACATTGTGGCTTAGTGAGTTGTTTTCAGCGGTTTAGAGTCTAGACATCAGCACATTGTGACTTAGTGAGTTGTTTTTAGTGGTTTAGAGTCTAGACTCAGCACATTGTGGCTTAGTGAGTTGTTTTCAGCGGTTTAGAGTCTAGACTCAGCACATTGTGGCTTAGTGAGTTGGTTTCAGCGGTTTAGAGTCTAGACAACAGCACATGGTGGCTTAGTGAGTTGTTTTCAGTGGTTTAGAGTCTAGACTCGGCACATTGTGGCTTAGGGAGGTGTTTTTAGCGGTTTAGAGTCTAGACAACAGCACATGGTGGCTTAGTGAGTTGTTTTCAGTGGTTTAGAGTCTAGACTCGGCACATTGTGGCTTAGGGAGGTGTTTTTAGCGGTTTAGAGTCTAGACCCCAGCACATTGTGGCTTAGTGAGTTGTTTTCAGCGGTTTAGAGTCATACTCAGCATATATTTATTTTTTAACAATCTCCATGAATTTCATTTCAAGCATTGGAAAGACCCTAGTGAGCAGTAAAGGCCCTTTGTTTCTTCTTCATCCCAGTGTCAATATTTTTTTAAATGCTAGAATGACCTGATTGCATTCAATATTCTTGATAACTGGTCTTTTTGGTTACTTACAATACATTTTCAGCTTGCATCTGTCGTCTCCGTCATACGTAAACCTTATTCTCAAAAACCACTGAACCAACTTCAATGAAATTTTACAGGAAGGTTCCAAAATCAAAAGTTAACTATACTTATGAATGTAGTTCATGTGAGCGTTAAGACCCATTGGGCCTCTTGTTATCTCTCCCCAATGCTTGAAGAAAAGCTTGTTGTTTTAACCATTTTTATAAATAATTGTCTTATCATGAAATAAATTATCATTGCATTTACTTTGAGGATAATCCAAGATCTATCATTTTACTTAAGATTGAAAGATTTTATTGTGTATTTACTTAAAAGTTGTATCAATTGCTTTATAGAATCATTTATCTGCTGTCATCAGTTGAGACCTTATTGATTGTGGAACAAATTTACTGAAGAACTAGATCTATTATGTAACACCCTTAGTGCAAAGTACAAAGTTGTTAAATGTGTGTCAAATAGTCTTAGACTTGAGTGTAGTGTACATGTCAGTTTGTAGCCACCTTCATCTGGACAGTAGCCAGATCCTTTGTCCCTGACTGGGCGGTAGCCAGTTCCTTTGTACCTGAATGGACGGTAGCCAGTTCCTTTGTACCTGAATGGACGGTAGCCGGATCGTTTGTACCTTAATGGATGGTAGCCGGATTGTTTGTCCCTGACTGGACGGTAGCCAGTTCCTTTGTACCTGAATGGACGGTAGCCGGATCGTTTGTCCCTTACTGGGCGGTAGCCAGTTCCTTTGTACCTGAATGGACAGTAGCCGGATCGTTTGTCCCTGACTGGACGGTAGCCGGATCATTTGTCCCTGACTGGACGGTAGCCGGATCGTTTGTCCCTGACTGGACGGTAGCCGAATCGTTTGTCCCTGAATGGACGGCACCCAGATCGTTTGTCCCTGACTGAACGATAGCCAGATCGTTTATCCCTGACTGAACGATAGCCGGATCGTTTGTCCCTGACTGGACAGTAGCCGGATTGTTTGTCCCTGACTGAACGATAGCCGGATCGTTTGTCCCTGAATGGACGGCACCCAGATCGTTTGTCCCTGACTGAACGATAGCCAGATCGTTTCTCCCTGACTGAACGATAGCCGGATCGTTTGTCCCTGACTGGACAGTAGCCGGATTGTATGCCCCTGACTCGACAGTTGCCGGATCGTTTGTCCCTGACTGAAAGATAGCCGGATCGTTTGTCCCTGACTGGACAGTAGCCGGATTGTATGCCCCTGACTCGACAGTTGCCAGATCGTTTGTCCCTGACTGAACGATAGCCAGATCGTTTATCCCTGACTGAACGATAGCCGGATCGTTTGTCCCTGACTGGACGGTAGCCGGATTGTATGCCCCTGACTGGACAGTTGCCGGATCGTTTTTCCCTGACTGGACAGTTGCCGGATTGCAAAATGAAGTTGGTGTGACCCTGGGGCTAGATGAACGAGCCCCAATAGAGGATTTTTGGGTGTAAAGCTGTACTAGTTAAAAAAGAACCTAATCTCCTCTTAATAATAATACACATAAAAGACATAAAAAGACCAATACATGCTACCTGATTTACCTCTGGGTATAGCCCCATCCCAGGGACTTAATAAATAACTATAGACACAATCGCTAGGCATGGGGGAAAAAAAATCATACTCCATCTACCAGGATTTGCCTCTGGGTCAATCCCTGCTCCTGGGCACTGATTCCCTAACTAATTGTTAGGCATGAAATGAAAACACAGGATACTACCAGGGTTTGTACCTGGGTCAGTTTTACAGAAGGTTCTTTGGTCATAAAAACATTAAAAGGGTTGACATTTTGCTAACAAAAATATTTGCTAGAAAGTATCCTTGTAATCAGGAAAAATAATGTTATATAAAAAGGGGTGTTGCCCCACTTGATACTTAAAGGCACATCCCAAAATAGGGATTTTTTTGTAATTTTGTTATTAATGAGAATATCTTGCCATGATTGCTACAGGTCTGTTAGACTTAATCTCACATCAGAATTATTAAAACTATTGTTTTTGAATTAACTATGTCAAGTATCATCTGTAGTCCATTAATTTTGTGGTCACCAGTGGCACAAAGTCAATGTAAGGTTAGGCGTGGAAGCGTCAGCAATCTCCCTCCATGATTCCTCAGTCAATCCATCAACTGTTTCAAGTCACCTGAGATGAAGGCTCAAATAACCTATTGCAATCACTATTCGTCTCTTGTCTCTCGTTCTTTGTGTGTGAACTTCCCACATTTTTAACTTCTTAAGAACCTATGAATTGGTTTCTTTCTAACTTAATAAAAATCGTCTTTTTTGGAAGAAAGTACCAAATTGTAAAACTGGGGTTCCTGCCTCAACCCTAAGGACCAGGACAATGTTCAAAAGGGAAAATTTACCAATTTTTTACACTTCATGGATGGAAAGCTCATTAGATCCCTCATCTAAATTGTAAATTTCATACCCCCACCCCAATTTGTCTATTCTCCTTTTGGGAGAAGATACATTTTAACAGTTGATATAAGGAAATAACAATTCCGGGTAAATTTGGTCCATTTGCTGCATGGTTTAACCTTTGCTTGAATGATTATGATGAAAAGGTCATTAGATGAAAAATAAGATCCTGCTTCACCCTGGAGTCAATAGGGAGAACATTGGCTGAAATTTTTAATAATCTTTTCTACACTCAGATGTATTAGAGTCAAATTCTCTTTGTAGAAGGAAGGGCCTGAATGGTTAGTGTTTGGGTGTTCTCCCTTGATGGAAGGGGATACAATTTACAGGCTGTTCTCCCTTGATGGAAGGGGACATTTACAGGCTGTTCTCCCTTGATGGAAGGGATACAATTTACAGGCTGTTCTCCCTTGATGGAAGGGATACAATTTACAGGCTGTTCTCCCTTGATGGAAGGGGATACCATTTACAGGCTGTTCTCCCTTGATGGAAGGGATACAATTTACAGGGTGTTCTCCCTTGATGGAAGGGGATACAATTTACAGTGTTTTATGTAGGCAAATAACACTTTTGAATTTATTTTTTCCATTTTCAACAGGAAATAATTCAGTCACGTTTGGAATAATTCTGATGCTATTGCACAATGACCCCCCAAAAAAATCATTTTGTATTAGGTACCAAAATAATTTATTGGTTTAGTTTAAAGTGGGATTTTTGTCCTTGAGTAAAATGGGCCTCTTTGTTCTTTGAATCACTTCTTCTTAAAAGCTGAAGGGCCCAGGGATCTGCTACTTGGCCAGAAATTACATCGGATAATGTTATAAAGTTTCTTTATAAATATATCATTAACCGTCTGTCAAGGTCACAAGGGTAAAAACTTCTTTATCAAACCATCATCAGATCATCATCAGGCTATTGTGATATGTAATTTTCCCTTGGTACTAAATTGTGCTATTCACAAAGACTGTTCGGATAAACAAAATAGCCAACAGGTGGCCGTGTTGGATTTTGACAGGTATCGCTATTTTTCGGAAAGGAATGGAGGGATCTTAATGAATTTTAATAGGAAGGCTTTCCTTGGTCTTTAGTGGTGCATGTTTACTTTAATAACTGATGGAATAAACAAAAAAGCCGACAGGTGGCCATCCTAGATGGGGTTTTGTCTTTCCATCCATTTTCACAAATGGTACATTCTGTTGCCATTGATTCCCCCCACAGTAACATGTGTGTTATTTTTAGCAGTTGTGTCTAAAAATATCAGCAATTCTTAGATAATTGTGCTATGTGTTTATTATTTGGTTTAAATAAAATGCACACAATGAACATATGTTTATGATGGACACTTGATCAATGTCCGTCACCGCTGCGTAGTCCAGCAAACAAGTAGTTTAGACCTACTTAGTTACCACATCACATGTGTTGGACGGTATAAAGGAGGGGAGTCGGACAGTCCGATTTCCTGGTATACATGCTGTGTTTGGTCTGATATATTTATACAAAACACACACATGCATGGATAGACAGTAGCAAGGAAACTTTCACTGGAAAGAACCGAACATGGTTTTAAATGAAACAGCCACATATTAGTTTGATCGCTACAGGATGGCCTTTGCACTTTAGAAAACACACCTAACTTAATTTCCCGAATGTCACACAATATTTATACCCACAGCATGCTGGTCTTTCTGGTCATAGCTCCTGAGAGATCTAAATTAGTATCGTTTGTTTGCCGTGGACATGCTTTGGACAAGTGTGAATTATGGATTTGATCTGTCAATAGTCAAGGCCACTGTTTCTACAGAGGCAGAATGAGTCATGCTCACTACCTCTAGTTTAAAATCAGAATAATAATTAAACTTGGTTTCAACAGTTTTAAAAAGGATCAAATGAATATTGTGTATCAGGTTTTCATTCATTATCATTAACCAACTTGATCAACAAAGTAACCAGATATATCGTGAGAGTAGTACCACTCCAGAGAATGATGGTGGTGAGAATGACCGCCATATCCAAACAATCCACTATATATATTATGCATATTATGTATATATAGAGCAACCACTATACATATTATATCAGAGAGTTGCAGCATATTGTATCATTGTTAGAAGTGAACAAGAATTAAAATCTCTGCTATATTTACAACTAACCTTTGCTAAAATCAAGATTCAAAATTGTGAAAGTCAATTCTCTTTTAGTTCAAATAAAGAAATCTTGAAATTAAAGAAATGGTCATATTTCTGAAATTATTCCTTTGTTTTGAAGAGTTTTGATGAAAAAGCTATTTTTGCTCACCTGGCCTAAAGGACCAGTTAGCTAATGCTGTAGCGCAACGTCCGTCTGTTGTAAAAACAAATGTTTAAACTGCTACTAGTCCTGGGGGGGCAATAGTAGAACTTGAGGTAAATATTTAAAATCTCTCTCCATCTGTACAATTGGATTCCTTAGGCAAAGGGGATTCCATTTTGTACAAACAGAGGGTGTGGCCCTCTTTGGACAGAGGATTAGGGCTCAATAGGGGTCATACTTTATGTTAATGTTTAAAATCCTTCTCCTTGATTGGAGGGATTTTAACCAAATTTTGTAAAAGCATCCTTGGGCAAAGGGGACTCAGTTTTGTACAAATGGAGGGTTGGGTTTCCTGAGGAGAGAGGGGCAATTGACTAATAGGGGGAACATTGTGATGAATGAATACAAGAATTTGGCAAATAGGAAGGGTAGAGGGGCAGGAACCTATTGAGTTCAATCTTTATTCCTTACAAATGGAGGGATTTTAACCAAATTTGATGTAAAGCATCTTCTGGCAATGGGGACACAATTTTGTATAAACAGAGTGTGCCAAACCCTCTCCAAGGGGCAGAGGGGCGGGTCCAAATAGGTCCAGGGGCCAGAGGGGTGGGTCCAAATAGGTCCAGGGGGCAGAGGGGCGGGTCCAAACAGGTCCAGGGGGCAGAGGGGCGGGTCCAAATAGGTCCAAGGGGCAGATCCAAATAGGTCAAGGGGGCACAGGGTGTGTCCAAATAGGTCCAAAGGGCAGAGGGGCGGGTCCAAATAGGTCCAGGGGGCAGAGGGGTGGGTCCAAATAGGTCCAGGGGGCAGAGGGGCGGGTCCAAATAGGTCCAGGGGGCAGAGGGGCGGGTCCAAATCGGGGGAATGTAGAGATATTTAATATTTAAAATCTTTCTCCTTCTGTTCAAATTGAGGGATTTTAACCAACTTTAGGGACAGCTGTTGCTGAGAGACAGTGCCAATATTTGAAAAAAAGTTGCAGTATTATATTTAATGGGAATATTTTCCCAGTGTTGCTTAATTATCCAGGTGAGTGATACAGACACTCGGCGTCTGGTTTTTGTAACCACATTATCATGTTTATTGTGATTGATTTAGACATATATTGGTGTTTCTTCCTGTTATGTTTTTGTGTCCAGAAACTATAACTGAGATTACTGTGGGTCAGTGGTATGTATATAAAACCTATTGACTGAGCAGGTCATTGTAGAGGATGTTTTTCACTTTTGAATATCATCAGACAAACTGGGGAAATGTTAACACCTTTGATTGGTTGAGAAAGAACAAGTGTTGATGCATTTGATTTGTCAAGATTTAGATGACAAGTGATGGAGTAAATAATATTTTTTACAACCAGTTCCAACAGAGTACATACTTAACACAGTTTATCAAACAGAATATTTATTTAGTGGTTATTATGATGCATATTCTGAAGAGTGTTCCAAATAATTATCTACTCAACTTTGTATGATGAAAGTGATAAGCATGAGACATTTTGGACATTGATATTTTTTGTATGATATTGTAAAGGGTGATAATGTCATAGTTCACCTGATTACCAAATGAAAGATATCAGTAAATGTCATTTCACATTAATTATGTCATGGACAGTTGATATATCATGCATACAAGTTTTGAAGCTAAAATAAAATAAAAATATGAAGAAACACTATTTGTTGTTTTTATGTGACAGTTGTTCCAGTATTATTTATGATTGTTATTGCTCACCTGGTCGAAAGGACCAGTAAGCTTATGCAGTGGTGAGGTGTCTATCATCTGTCTGTCCGTCAACTTTTCATTTAAAACACTACTTGTCCTGAGTGGAAACACTTAAAATTCCTCTCCAATTGTATGAATGTAGATATTTTAACCAAATTTGATGTGGAGCATCCTTGGGCAAAAAGGACTCAGTTTTATTAGCTCAACTGGTCCAAAGGACCATGGTGAGCTTATGCCATACCGCAGCGTCCGTCGTCCGTCCGTCCGTCAACTTTTCCTTTAAAACGCTACTGGTCAAGCACGACTGAGCAGATTTTGACCAAATTTGGTCAAAAGCATCCTTGGGGGAAGGGGAACAAATGTTGTATAAATAGTGGGTCTGGCCCCCATGGGGGCTGAGGGGCTGGGCCCAATAGGGGAAATATAGCAAATTCTTTAAAATCCTTCTTCTTCTGTAGGAATGAAAGGATATGTTCCATATTTGGTCTGAAGCATTCTTGGGTGAAGGGGAACCAATTTTGTATAAACCGTAGCTCTGGCCCCCCCTGGGGGCTGAGGGGTGGGGCCAAACAGGGGAAATATAACAAATTCTTTAAAATCCTTCTTCTTCTGTAGGAATGAATGGATTTGTTCCATCTTTGGTCTAAAGNCAAACCTTTCTGTAAAAAGGAATATTCACGAGACGAATATCCCTTTTCAAATGTTTTCATAAAGTGCATATATGCAATGACAAACTACACGCGTATAAGAAAAAAAGAGAAACGTTTGTGATTTTTTTTTATTACATTGTACAACTCAGTATTTTTTTCTATACCATGCATAAAAATGTATGTATACTCTCTATACCAATTTCACTGTCTTCATACCCTTACACTTTGTAAGTCATATTAACCATTACACACACTAAACTGTATGGCAAAACCACTACTGTACATGTAGAATATGTGTCAGATATGGGAGGTGTTGAGCTACTTGATAATTATATTTTTTCAATACTTTTCATAGATTAAAGCATTCTTGTCAATGGACCCTTTTTATGTTGAGCCAACTTTTCTTTAATCATTTCATTTTTGTCCAAAACAGAAGCCTTAGTTAATATAAACTTTATTTCATTCCTAATTAGGTTGCATTACATCACATAACATACGAAGTACAGAGGAATGGGATCCGGAAACAGGTTGAAATAACTTATATAAATCCGTTTCCGAGAATTTATCTCATTAATTTAAGGCATGATTGCATAGTTACTGAATTCTATGGAAAGAAATATAAACACTTAAAACAGTAGCTTACATTTAAACGTAGTTCAAGGGATATTTGAAATTTGAGTAAAAGAAGACGGGTACAGGAAGGGTGGGGGTGCCCGTGCCAATAAGAATAGAAGGAGAGGTAATAGGTGATGTGAAACAAAGGATCGTTGTATAATGAATAGAAGTTAGTCAAATCTTTTAGAATGGA